GCAATGTCCAGTTGTTGACAGACTTGAAAATTTCTATGTTTTTGAGCTGAATTTGATTTCCATTTGTGATTTCTAAGCTAGCGAAAATATTAGCTAGTAATATCATTTTTTGACTGCAAGTATTTCACCATCATCTGTAAAGTTGTACCTCCAACTTTATTAAGGTGACACATATGTTCTATAGCATTTTTGCTTAATAAAAATTGGTTTTCAACCTTAAGTGATATAGCATGACTATTGAATCAACTTTCGTTTCGCATTTTTGTTGATCGTTTTGAGTTACAAAAAATGATCTACACACTTTATTACATGCATTAACACATAAACATGATGTTCATGACATGTTTTAGTAAATGATTTACGGTGTAACACCGAGGGTGTTACAATTAGGCACCAACACCACGGGTGGATGGACCTTCTTCGAAACTTGATCATCATGGACCTTCTCACTCTCGTAAGTACTACACATAATAAATGATGCTTGCTTAACAAGATGGAATGCATGACACGATGCATGATAAGAGACATTCAAGTGCCTAATAGAAGATAAGCAAAGTTAAGAAATTTGAATACAACTTTCCTTCATCAAGGATCTAGGGTTATTATTATAAAAGCATTTCAGTTATTTAACTAACAAGTTAATTAGTTGTTTATCATGAAAGGCATAACTTAACACGTACCAGCAAGAGATTAACATCTATCTTATTTTATGATCATTATAAGGAACCAATAATTAAGGCATATTAATTATTATATAAACAAGTTGGCTATGTGGTTATTAAGAATGCAACATTATCACATTATACTAGTCAAGCAAGGCAGGGTATTTAACTAACATTACATAAGTTCAACCATGAGGGCAGACAAGGATCAAAACATGATCTAATCACATGCATCTATTAACTAAGCAATTAAGTAAGTCCTTTTAGTTATTAACCAACAAGTTATTTATAAACATATCAAAGAATTATTTAATTTGAGAAGGAATAGCAGATGATTTGGTTTCATTTTCCTAATTTATTTTAATATTTATAAAACAAGGAAAAGGTATTTAAAACACTTAAATTAAGTAACCAATTTAAAATTATCAAAACAGTACCAAACTTTTTGTGAAGTTAGGTATTAGCACATTATATTTACAAAAAAAGTTTCATGATTAAAGTATTAATATTTTTATTTATAAAAATCATGCAAGATCCATTTTATAATTAAAAGAGGTAATTTTTAAGCATACCAAAACTACTGAAAATGACCAAATCATATTTTTCCATGGTACAGAATATCATGAGAAAGATACACAACAAATTTCATGAATTGATAATGCACCAATAATTAGTTATGAATTTATCAAGAATCTGCATTTTTAATCCATTTCGAAACAGACAGGCAGGACCCGAGTCAACCGCACAGTGCTCCCATGCGCCGCCGCGGGTGCACGGCGTTTGACCGGCGGGTGCTCATCGCCGGTGAGGTTTCCGGTGACGGGAGCGGCACCATCGTGACCCCATTCTCACACGCACACACCTATGGTACTGGTTGAACAAACTAGGGTTCACGGCGAGCTCGTCGCCGGTCATGGCGGTGCGACGGCGCGGCGAGCGATGCGCCGGCCGCTAGAGGCCGGTAGAGGTTAAAATAAAACGCTGGATAGCAACATGGTCTCACCAAGATCGCTCTCGGCCACTTGTTCGAGGAGGTGATGCAGCGGAGAGAGCTACCGATGTCGGGGGCGGAGACGGCGGCGCGAACCGGCCGTCACGGCGGTGTTCCGGCGGCTCTGATTCTGTAAACAAGACACGATCAGAACGATAAGAATCTAAGTGACGTGAGAAAGCCGGAACAACAAAATAAATGGCGGTAGGTGCTCTGGAGTAGCCCGGCCACGGCGAGGTAATGCTTGGCGGCTATGGCGGTCCGCCGCGGCGAGGGCAGCGCGTGCTGGTGATTGTGGTGGCGAGAGGCGAAGCGAGTGGGTTCAGGTAGCACGCAGGGGCGAGATGTTGCTTTGGGCGCGAGTAATTGGGCAGAGAGCGCCCCGGCGCGGCGAATTTCACCGGTGACCAAGAAGAAAGAAGACGGTGACCGGCTTCGGGGCGATTTAAACGGCCGAGGTGAAACATCTAGGCGTGCTAGCTGTGGCTCGACCCGAGCAAGCAAGTAGCTGCGCGTCAACAGGCGAGGAAACGGCAAAAATGGGGCGGCGGCCGTCGGCGTGACAAGCCAACTTCCTCTCTCCTTTCCTCACGATTCCATACAGAAGCTCGATGATCTTCATTAACAAAAGTTGTTCATATCCTTGGTCTCCAACATTGCTTTAAGGTTCAAGATCAAAAGAGCTCGGGATTTTGAGATTTTGAATTCCAAACAAGGGTTTAGTGAAACTGAACCTAGAGTTTCAGTTTCAGGTTTTAAAAAGCAGATTTTGCTTAGCAAATTTAGGATTTAATTCATGAGCAACCAATAATCAAACATCACAACCAATTATTCATTATCATAGCTCAAGTGTAGGACAAAACAATGGAACAAAAATTGGACACATTTTATTTATGAAAATTCATGTAATAATTCTCCAAACTTTGAACTCATTAACTGATTTTCAGGGACTTGCCATCAAAAGGACTGTGTCAACCAGCATTAATTCAATTTTTGGAGTTCAATTCTAGCATGTTTGATTCAAAAACATTATCAAACTTTTATTACACATGAAAGCACATACTTTGTACTACAAAGTTTATTTTAACAAAATTTTAATTGTTTAAGCAAATTCACATATATAAAATTCACAAAAACCTTAATTGATATTGTTGTTAACATTACATGCAACACATATAACTCAACATAAGAAACACTATATATGCAACATGTATGCCATAAATGAAACTTGAAATGCATGCTTGACATAATACTTGGTGATTATGCTTAATGATGCTCCTGATCAGAATTTTAAGTGTTTTTTAACATCTAGGATGTTACATTTGGCCGCACCTAGGTCCCTGGCGCGGCCAAAACACGCTGCCACGCCACGGTCTGCCACGGTGGATAACGCTTTCCATGTGGAAAACCTTGCCGCGCCACTGCCGTTGGTGCAGTAGCACTATAGCACCACGCCAACCAGGCTGGTGCGGCAAGGCACAACTTAGAAAAATCATATCTTTTCATACAAATTTGGATGAAATTGATATTTATATGAAAATTGTAGCTCTCGACGAGATCTACAACTTTCTAGTTTTGAGTTTTTTCATTTGAGGTCGTTAAGATGCTCAAAAAAATTATACAAAGTTTTAGCAGTATATTAATCGCGTACAAATGCTTGTCGCCTTAGAAAAATCATATCTTTCTTATACGGTGTCAAATGGAGATACTTTCTATATGAAAGTTGTATCTCTCGATAGGATCTACAAATTTGTAGCTTTGAGTTTTTGCATTTGAGATCATTAAGATGCTCACAAAATATAATATAAACTTTTAGCATCGTATTAATCGCGTACAAGCTCTTGTCGTCTGAAAAAATGATATCTTTTTTGTACGGTGTCAAACGAAGATACTATTTACATAAAAGTTGTAGCTGTTGATGAGATCTACAACTGTATAGTTTTAAGTTGTTTCATTTAAGGTCGTTATCTTAGGCGCGCGACATGACTAAAAGACTTTGTTTTCTTTTGTAGTTTGTAATAGGAAGCCATATGTCTTCTTTTTCATGTACTCATGTTGGACCTCTTAGTCAAGGTGTTGTCTTCGAAGATGTATTTAACATAATTTTTGCAAATATAAGAATTATGGAAGTATGGACTCCCGATACATGTTCTTTTATTTTCGTCCCAATTAAATTAACCAAAATCAAACTTGTCTTGCTTACGTGGAGGCGGGCCATAGCCGCTCATTTCCCCGCCATCAGACTCTGTTGGAAATGTTTCATGAGCTTAAACCGAAGCTAGATAAAGAGATGTAAAGATGCTCTGTACATGATCGTAAATTGTTAGCATCAAATAAAAAGATCATCATACTCCGTTGCTTCACGAGTCTAAACTGAAGCTAAAGAAAGACAGATGAAAATGCTCCAGTGTGAGAATATTTATACCATATTAAATAAAATAATATAGATGGTCAAATTCCATCTAAGTATGGTATAGAGTACAAATAGCGAAATAATATGCCTGAAAAGGAAATGGAACTAATATGATATAACATATTTTGACGGCATAATCTCCCATGTAAAAGTGGTGTGGTGATATATGTATTGAAAAAAAAGAGGGGGACAAGTGATGATAATAGTGAAATAATATGCTTGAAAAGGAAATGGAACTAATATGTTATAATCTATTTTGACAGCATAATCTACCATGTAAAAGTGATGCGGTGATATATACAATAACATAGCCTTTTAGTCCTAAGTAAGTTAGGGTAGATTAGAGTTGAAACTCACCAAGAGTCCTAAGTCACGGTTCAGGCACTTCAATAGCTGCTTTCAAAGTACTTCTATTCAAACATAGATCTCTAGGTATATCCCAAGCTTTCAAATATCTTTTTATTGTCTCTCCCGTGTCAATTTCGGTCTTTCGCTATCTCTCCGCATGTTATTAGTTTGGCTTAGGACTCCACAATGTACTGGTGTCTCTGGAGGTCTCCTTTGGACATGGCCAAACCACCTCAACCGATGTTGGACAATCTTTTCTTCAATTGGTGCTACCTCTGTGCGATCACGTATATCATCATTCTGAACTCGATCCATTCTTGTATGACCGCAAATCCATTGCAACATACACATTTCTGCAACACTAAGATGTGGTGATATATGTATTAAAAAAAGAGAGGGGGGATAAGTAGTGATAAGAAAAAAGGAGAAGGGATCTTAGGCACGGTTATGTTAGCTTCTTGGCATGTGCGTGCAAATAGATGCCTTTGATTACTGAATGGCAGTATTGATTTTTAATAAAAATAGTGGATGACCGACACTCCAGCCAGCAAGGCAAAGAGAATGTGTCGTTTGGCACTCCACAGCTATGATCAGGATTGACCTCTCTCTGGGAAGAGCAACCAATTCGTCGCTCAATGCTTTCAATTTCGGTTTTGCCCAGAAGTACAAAAAAGTCGAAGAGTCCAGCATCAGTGTGTCAGCCACTCTGTCTGCAGTAATAATAATGCAACCTTTGCACTACACGATTGACAGGGACAACATTCTTGTTCTGGGAGGGATCCTTGTCGACGCCGCTACGCAAAATAATATGCCTGAAAAGGAAATGGAACTAATATGATATAACATATTTTGACGGCATAATCTCCCATGTAAAAGTGGTGTGGTGATATATGTATTGAAAAAATAGAGGGGGACAAGTGATGATAATAGTGAAATAATATGCTTGAAAAGGAAATGGAACTAATATGTTATAATCTATTTTGACGGCATAATCTACCATGTAAAAGTGATGTGGTGATATATACAATAACATAGCCTTTTAGTCCTAAGCAAGTTGGGGTAGGCTAGAGTTGAAACCCACCGAGAGCCTCAAGTTTCCTCGTTAAATTACTGTAGCATCAAGCATAAACCATCATTAAATCTTCATTATCCATCAACATGTCCATTACTTAGCCCCCTTATCCCATCCTAAATCCGCCACTGCCGCTACGTACGATCTCGCTTAACTCTCCTGTCCTGTGCACCGCCACCGCTTCCTTCCTCCCCTGTTTCTTTGGTTTTGCCAGGCTCGTCCTTCTCCTGTGCGGCGGCAGCGTTCGCGTATTGCCCGCAGCACTCGGAGTCTCCGGCCACCGCGGCTCCGAGCTCCTCCCTATCATTCGGGACAGCGCACAGGAACGTTGTTGCGCAGCGCGAAAGAGAGCTGTCCCGCGCTCTTTGCGAGAGTGAAGCAATCCGGCTCAAAACGGCTGCAGCCCTTCGATGTTGCTCGGACGGTGGATGTGGCATCCTGGCAGGGAAAGTCACGGCGTAACCTGAGAAGGCGAGCGAGTCACCGAATCTGCATCCCACCACTTCGGCCCTGCATTTTCTTCTCCGGTTTAACCCCCGCGTCAGGCGTCGCCGCGTGCTCTCTCTCCCGGCAACTGGGCAACCGCCGCCGCCCAACTCGAGGTGCCCAGGTCCTCGCCAGCGACGAGAATCCACCAGGTATGCGCACCCCTCCTCGTTCCTTCACTCCTGTGCGAAACTGAGCATCCGAACCCTAACTCCTTCCCTTCTCTGTGAAACCGAGCACCCGAACCCTATTCAGATCTGATCTAATTACAGCACGTATTTTTTCAACAATTATTCAGATCGGTTTTATTCTGCTTAGCACTTCCGTATTCGGTTCTATCTCGTCTGCACAAATTGTGCCTGATCTTACAACCTGTGCTGTTGCAGGCTTGTGTGCTGGTCTCCGCGGTGTCATTGCACGACAAGATGGTTTCCTTCGAGATGAATGACCTCAAGAGTATGGGCTTGTCACCACTCTTTTTAAATTGTCTTCCCAGTTTTTGTTCCATTTATTTCTTATAGGAGCATAGATAGGTTCTGCTGGCAGTGAATGTGTATCTTATTTGCTTGGCTCCTTTGTTTCTGCTTCATAATTCAGAACTTAACGAGCTAACATGTTTGCAATCTGTAATGTGGACACACTGTCACATGTGATGAATGTGAGAAAGTCATCCTCAGGGATGCTACTTTGTTTTAAGGTGTGCTGTGTTGACATGTTTGGTGGCTTTTTTTAACTGATATTTGGTGATTTTTCAATCATATAAACTGTGACATGTGCAGCGTATCATGTAAGCAGTAGTTTTAATGTGTTGACCCATCAGGGTAATATCATTTGTGGAATGTGCTGTATAACTTAACCTGCAATTTTTTTTGTGTGTAATTGTGTTACAATTGACCATGATACATCAGGGTGGCAGGGTATATCATGTACTGTGTGCCTGTGTGGTCTACAATATGCCAATATCACTTGATCGGTAGTTTTAGTGTTATATGTGTGTACAACGCAAGAGAGGTAACAAATTGCTAATTCTGTTTTTTTCCCTTCACAAGGGTGGGTTGGGGGTGTTATTAGAAAGAACAAGTATAGGGATCTGTTACTGTGGCTAATCTCAACTGAGTTTGTCCAAAAATTTGGAAATATTGGCTCAAGTGTACCAACAGGATAAAGCTTTTAGGCAAAGCAAAGATTAAAGTTTAAGATCTTCTGCTGGTTAGGCTTACACAATTGCCATACTACACAAATACTAACTGCAGTGCTGAGCTGCTGGCTGACCGCTGAATCTCTGAAAGATGCTTGGATTTAGTTGAAACCAGCATCGGATATGCTGCTGCTGCAAGGTCTATGCTAGTTTCTGATTGACCACTGTAAGGAACATATACTCAACCACTTTGAAACCTTCTTGTTCTGTCTGGGTTCTGATGCAAATTTCCAATGAATCTCGGTAGAATCATCGAGCTTAAAATACCACCTTTTTAGTGTTTCGGCTGTATTAAAAATCATGTTGAATGTTCGAAGTGTGACGAAAAATTCTGGCTTGCAAAATCTTTTGTGTGATGTTGTAAAAGCATATTCGCTGGTTTAGATTTTACAGTCTATTCTTCCAAGTCATTGATCTGTGTCGTCTGAATATCATCTTGGACAGAGATTGGGCTTGGCCTGACAGGCTTTGGAATATTCTTCTCCTTTCTGGGAATCGTTTTCTTCTTTGACAAGGGGCTCATCGCAATGGGCAATGTAAGTGAACTTCAATTTTGTAATTTGCTTTTGAATCTTTTGAGGATCTAAGTTAACTCACTGTGCGTATGGTTCACCTTTTTCTCTTGATGCCATTGCAGATTCTTTTCCTGTCAGGTTTGGGTTTGACAATTGGTCTGAAATCAACTATGCAGTTCTTCACCAAGCCAAAGAATTACAAGGTTTTGCATCCACTGTATTTGCTAGGGCTGTTGCCCTTAAACATGTCTACCGTCTCATTATTCTCATTAACTGCTCTAATGAACAGGGTACTATCTCATTTGGCGCTGGTTTTTTTCTGGTTCTCATTGGGTGGCCGTTTTTTGGCATGCTCTTAGAGGCATATGGCTTTATTGTACTCTTCAGGTAGGAGAATTTTCTTGTGACCAACTGATCCTTTCTCTTTTAGTAATCTGCAATTTCTTGTTGAGACAGTAAAAACATTCAATGCTGCAAATAGTTATTTGTTTCTAACGAACCGCCATCATTTCTTTAAAAAAGTTGCTTATACCTGAGCACTGACTTGGCAATTCCATTGCAGTGGGTTCTGGCCAACACTTGCTGTGTTCTTGCAGAGGATTCCTATCATCGGATGGATTTTCCAACAACCATTTGTGACATCGGTAAGAAGCTCGCGACACATAATGTTCTTTGGTTCCTGAGACTACTTGGCGCATTTCACATTCTGATAAGCCTAATTTCTCTTGTTTCTGCAGTTCCTTGACCACTACAGAGGAAAACGTGTTCCGGTCTAGCAACCTTTTGCTCTATATATGCTTACTTGCGGTGTAGCAACTAGCCACCTGTGTTTTTTTACAACAGTAGCAAACTGGTTATACCGGTGTCTGATCCTATGGCCCCGTTCGCTTCGCTGAAAAAACAAGCCGAAACACTGTTCCGGCTGATTTGTTGCGAGAGAAAAACACTGTTTCGGCTGAAAAAACAAGCTGAAAAGTACATATTATAAAACAAGCGAACAGGTAGATATGTTTTGTTTAGTTCCCAATAGGATTGTTCCTTTTAAATTACAGCCCCAAACTGGCCAAACCAAAACTCCATTCCTTTGAGACCAGGATGCAGGCTCACCCATGAAATGGATCTGTTGAAGAAACTCTTCAGCTTTGTCGAGAGCATTATCTCTGAAAGAAAAAGCTAATATGTTCTTTTATAGGATAATAAGTCATATGTTTTGTGTGGACTGAATTTCTGAACACAAAATTGCGGTTCATGCTTGTGGTTCAACACAGGATTCCTAGACCCTCCAATTTCTTAAGGGGATTATCTAAAACGGTTCACAATATAACTAGGAAAACCTTCAGATATGACTCGAGTCTGAACATGCTAGTTTGATGTATCTCATTTGGTATATTTGTATCTGACAATCAACACTTTTTTGTGAGGGAGAATAACAAATTCTACTCCGCATTTTTTGGCAAAATCATACGACAGAAACCGCCATCTGTTTTATGGTCTTGGAGATGGAAGATAAGAGGTCACCCTCCCTGTTTCGAGTGGGTGCTACTCGTGGCATGGCCGAAGAGCCAAGAACCAGATAACATTGTTGTTGCTCGACTTCTCTTGCTCGGGCTCCAGATCGGCAACCCGGGACAGATCGTTGTTGCTTCCAAGCTCACCGTGCAGTCCATAACCCGCTCACGCCGGTCTGTGTGCTCCGGTGCCGACGCCGGAACAAGGTGATTCTCAAAACAAATTAGAACACTATATACCCGAGTTCCACTGTTTACCATGATCAGACTGCAGCGGCACACCATGAGATTTTGACAAACAGTAATTTGGATCAAGCTCAGCAAACACAATGGCGTCAAATTCACATTTTGCCAAAGGCGACAATGGAAAATGCCTAAGAAGCGACGCCAGCAGTGAAAGCAGTTTCACAGACATGTAATCGGATGAATTTGGCCCCTAGAACTAGTCCAAATAATCACATGTAATCAGACAAATTAAGCACCTAAACCTAAACCTAAGCCCGGAGACTAGTCAATGTCTTGTCAACATCGCTCTGCCATACCCAGCAATGCTCTAGGAACCAGAATTTAGGACATTTGCGTTAGCTACAAAACCTTCAGATGATGTCGTGAGCAGATCAGCTGGAGGGCCTCCCTGACTAGAATTCAGAAAGACATTGGCCCAGTTTGACGATCTGTGCACGATTCTTGAAGGGATGCGGTCGCTATCTTCACCTCCTGATGCTTCATAACCGTCGCTTGATGATCTTTTAAACTCGATGCCCTTGTGAGCTGAATGTGTCATGGCTCCCTGCATCTCATCAGCTGTGGCTGAGGAAGTGCGGAAGGGGTGGAGATCAGGCGAGTCAAAGCTACTTTCAGGCGATGAAGCAACATTTCTTGTGGATGCTGCAGTACTAGGTTGGAAAGCACTTCTTGCTTCGAGCTGTAATGGGGCTAAACTGCCACAAATTTCTGTTGCTGTGTCGCTGTAGTTGCTTTCAGTGCCGCTCGCAGATAGAGTTGCAAGTGGGTCAAGAGAAAGCTCAGCAGGGAAACCTCTTCTATCTAGTCGTCTCTTGTAGCTGGGCATATGATCTGGTTTACTGCCATTGTCTGGGGCGCCATGTTTTGCAATCGGTTTCAGGATTTTGGATTTCTTCCTTGCCTCCGCGGCTGCCTTTGAAACTTCCTCTGCATTTAGCCGTGCCAATGTCCATGGACTGATTTTCACTGCTCCATTTTTTCTCCTTGCTCCTTCCTCTTCCTTGGTTTTCTTACTGCCTGAATTCTGTGAAATGCCGACCTCTGGAGGAATGGCATCGAACTGTGAAAGAGAGGAGCAAGCAATAAGTATCAACTGCTAAAGATGGAAGAAGGGGAACTACAGTCTTGATTTATTGTCCAATTGTCACAAAAAAATTATACTATTTGTTTGAAAACAAATTTAGCATACTTCACTAATCATGATAACTTGAAGCACGTACAAATGCAAGCACTTGAAACTTCAGATGTTACTATCAAGAAGTCTTTTTCACATATAGTGAAGTTTGATTTCAGTTGGTTTTATATGTAGAACACAAATGAGGACATATTCAGCTAATTAACAAAACAACACATGCAATATCCGGACATATTCAGTCATGTATCACAGCGTGTTGTCTTTGCCTATCTAAGATCTTTATTCCCCTTGGCTGCATAAGATTTTACAGACATGAGTGATTATCTCATACCTGGTCTTCCAGGAACAATCTTGGTGGAGTGCACCATGAACCACGATGAAGAGGTCCAAAAGAACTGGCTGTGCTAAAACCAGTAACAGAACTAATAATAGACATCTGTGGACTTTGGTGTCCAGGAACCTCTTGTTGATCCTCCTGCTCCCTCAAAGCTATGATGTAATCATATGTGCTAATTCCCTGGACACACATGAAGAGGATTGCAATTTAACCTCAAGTTGTATGAAAAAAGAACAGAAAGTTTAAATGCACAAAGTTTTCTACTTTTCTTGCAAAACTCCCCAACCAATTATAGTTAACTCGTAGTATGTGACTGACTTATTTCAGCAGAAAATGTGACCAAAACAATCGACTCCTGTGCAATCATGGGACAAAGGAGGAGTGCTTCTTGTTTCTTACTAAGGGGATAGTTAATTTGAGTTTCATAACAATAGCCATGTAGTGGATCAAGAAAATAGTAGTGATCAAGCAGTCCATTTCAGGAAGCAGGAAAGTAGATAACAGAGATGGGCCAAAAATGAAAATTGCAAGCATGTTTATTATTGCTATTGTATGATATCATTCAAGGAGTCCCCAATTGAACCTCAAGAGCAACTTACCTTTTTGACAAGAAGGATATGAAAACATAAAAGCTGGACAAGTGGCACGGTTGCAACCATTGCTAAAATGGTGCAGGTTGCCTGCAAAAAATTGAAACATCCTGTTACCAATCTTGTAACCTTTTTCAAAGATAGCAGAATTGTTTTAGTTTACCAACAAATTATATGAACTTCAATGCAGCGGACACATTCGATAATGAAAGGAAGGAAAAACTGCTCAACTCACCACAACAATTACAAAAGCCACAGTTGAGAAGCTGCTTCCCAACTTTGTGACAACCTGCCTAGAGAATTCTCCTCGCTTCACAATACAGAGAATCAACACAAGTGCCCCCGACAACCACTGCATCACAAGCTGGATCAAGTTGTACAAACCATGGAGATCTGTCAATAACCTACCAGAATAGGAAGGATGCGGAACAACATTGCTAACTATATGCATTGCCCCCACTTGGTTGCAGATGTTAAAGGTACGGTTTTTTGGATTGGTACCATTACAATTCTGCAACTTTGGAGAAATACCATTACTATTCGCTTATTTGGAAACATGCCATTATAATTTCTCTTCAGCTTGAATCGTGCCATTTTCTACGTATTTGACAGCGTTGGGCCCACGCGCAAACGTATACGACATGTATTCTCGTATGGACTCAAATGCCCTTGGCTACAAGTGGATACCCTGTCACTGACATGCGGGCCCCACATGTCATCTTCTTCTTCCTCCCCTTCTCATCCTCGCAGTCCTTGTGCTCGAGGCCTGGGGCTTGGGGCGCCGTCGCGGCGTCGCCTGGGGGCTAGGGTCGCGGTAGGGGGCTGGTGGCGCCGTCCCCTAGGGGCATGGAGCGACGTGGAGTGAGCCGGCGTCGTGCTCCCGCCGTAGGAGCCGCGCCTGGCCATGGCCGAGGACGTGCGGCCTGGCCTAGAGCGCAAAGCCATTCCACCCTGGAGTGCTCGAACGCCTGGGTCAGTGGCTCGCACTCCATGCCGCAGGCCCGCACACTCGGTTAGTGGCAGCAGCGCCCGCACGCAGCACGCTAGGCCGACCATGGCATCCATACTCCTTCGTGTCGGGATAGGGATGAGGAGATGGAGGTCAAGGGCAGTTCCTCCTCGGCGCCGTCCTCTGAGGTTATTGCGCCCCCGTGCTTGCCCCGTGCGCAGAGCGGAAGATGGACGTGCCGCTCTCTGTGTTTGCGAGCTCGGACGGACGGCGCTGCTCCCATAAGCGAGCTCGGGCGGACGGCATGGTTCCGGCAGACGAGCGCGGCTGTGACGCGGCGGCTATGGGCAGAGCTCCGGCGTGAGCTCGGGTTTGGGGCGGCAACGAACTGGGCCCGGCGGATAGGAAGTGCGTCGGCTTGAGGTTGAAGAAGAAGGCCACACGTCAGCGGGTGGAGAAAGAGAAATAGCAGGGGTATTTTGGGACATACGAGAATACAGTGGCCTTTAGTGACCTGCGCGTGGGCCCAACGTTGTTGAATACGTAGACAATGGCACGATTCAAGCTGAAGAAGAATTATAATGGCATGTTTCCAAATAGGCGAATAGTAATGGTATTTCTCCAAAGTTGCAGAATTGTAATGGTACCGACCCAAAAGGTAAATGCAATAACACAAGGGTCGTCTTTACATTCCAATTTGTGTCAGTTTGTCATTTGTCAAGAGATCCACACTTACCAGGATAACTGCAGAAGCCATTAGAGCGAAGAAACCTTTGTAGTTCCTTTTCCCTATGCAATTGTTAAGCCACTACAAAAGAACAGAGGCAGCAGGCAAAACAAGTCCATTAATTGTGAGGAAATAAGACCATAATTCTTGTGAGGAATCATATTTTTTAGTATCATGGGAAATCATAACAAAAAAATAGATCTTACTCTGCAGTGATGGTCGAATCCATCAACACACTTGTCACATACTCTACAATGCTTACTGTTCTTCAGAACCTGGGAATG